CGGCTCTGCTGATCCCGGTGCTGGGAGGCATATTACCCTTTTACTATATAGGATAGAGGCCTGGGGGCTGGCTGGTTTGCCCTGAAGGGTGTCCTGGATCAGGGTGGGGGTCCCCACTGGGGTGCCTGGCCAGCCTGGATGAGGGGATGATGGCTGTTTGCAGCTGGTCACACACCCTTCAGGGTGGGGGTCCCCACTGGGGTGCCAGTCTGGGTGAGGGGCTGAGGGCTGTTTTCAGGCTCTGCGGGTGACTGAAGCTCCCAACCGCTCCTTTTTTTCTTTCTTTTTTTTTATTCTGGGCCAGCTTTAGCTCTGAGGCTCCAGCTCTTAGGCCTCTGCTCCTGAAAGTAAGTATGTCACGCATTTCGGTTCAAAACAATGTATAACTGCAGCTCTGACTCCAGCTCTGAGATCCCAGCTCACTGAAAGCTGGTTTCTGGGCTTTTTTTTAGCTTCTATGTTTGTTACAATGTTCAAACTGCAGGCTCAGAGGCCTGCAAGGCAGGCGGGGAACGTTGGTTTCCTCCCCGTCACTGAAGGAAGCAAGCCTCATGTTAGTTTCAAGCTGCCTGGCTGCCGGCCGCCATCTTGGCTGTCAGTTAATTTGCATATCTCCCTGATTAGCCAATGGGAAGGGTAGCGGTCGTACGCCAATTACCATGCTTCTCTTTTATTAGTGTAGATATATAATATAAAACAATGCTAAAACTGAAAAGTGAATGAATATGCATTGCTCTTATCTGTTAGCCCCCCAATGGTGCCACTTTGCTTAGTAAATCCCTATGATGCAGACTCAAGGACTAGGTCTTTACGCCCTGTCTCTGCTGGGTATGTTACCACTGTGAGTCTGCTACAGAATCATTGAGGAATTTGTTGACTTAAACTTCATTACAGGTGCTCTGAAGATCAGAAAAAGGCAATACATTTCCGGACAAACTTATTGCTAGTAGTGGTAAAGATTAAGCTGCCTGAAAATTATTGTCTCAGGCCTCTTGAAATTTTTTTAATTTTAATTTTATTTTTTAAAATATTACAAATAGTAGTACAGATGTCTCTTTTTTCCCCCATTGACCTCCACCCTGCTTCCCCTACCCCCTGGCACATGCCCTCATCCCCACCCCCAGTGTCTTGAATCCATTGGTTATGCTTATATGCATGCATACAAGACCTTCAGTTGATTTCTTACTACTGCGCCCCCCCCCCCCCCCCCCCCC